TGAAATTACATTATGACGCATTCACATACATTATTAATACAAATACATTTTCCAGGGCGAGACGATGAGGCAACCACAAGCACTTCCACTGGTTCAAGAGGTCCACGAGGGAAAAATGCACAATATTACCGTGATTACAGAGCACGGAAGAGAGCGGAGCAGGAAAATGAGTCGTTGAATAGAACTAGTGATCCTTCTACGACTGCTGATTCTTCTACAATTAACGTCACAGATTGCGAAGTTTAACTTTCTTAATAAAAGTTTAACGAAGTTTAACTTTTATTTTTTTCCCGATGAACTTCTAAAATGATCTTCGGTACTTGGCAAAATGCCCTTATCCATACTTAAGAGAGAAAATAAAATTCAAATCACTGAAGCAGGTAAATTTTTAAAGGTTTTTAATTTACAAGTTAACGAAATCCAATGATTCAAACGAAAGTTACAAATTTTAACCCTAACACATATCTTAATTTTTTATCGCTTTATCGGTAAACTGCCCTACTGTAAATGAACGATCAAAGCGATCTTAAAAGGATTGCTTGTTCATTGGGTTAATGAATGATGGCGAGTGGAAGTGTTTTGCCTCTAATATTTTTTAAATAGAATATTAGAACTATTTAAATATAACAAAGGGGGGTATTGAATAAGATTAAGGCAAACAAGAATTCAAGAATATAAGATAAAGGCGAAGATGAATAAAATAGCAAAGCAATCTCATAAAAATTGTATTAAAAATTGTGGGGGGCTTGCGTGATAGCGAGGAAAAGGCATCAACATTTGAAAAAAAAAATATCGTTCGTTAAATATTAATTAAGGAAAACTTCAGTTTATGAAAAATTATTCACGAATTGCTGACAAATATTTTAGGGTAAAGTATATTGATGACTAAAATGCATACAATATTACCAAGTAAAAATAAATGAATTAAAATTTAATGATATATAAGACTCATAGTAAGACTAAGTAAGTGGTAAAACACTTAAATGGTAAAATACTTAAGTGGGAAAATACTTTATAAGGCGACTTAAAGAAATAAAAGAATACTTTATTTTGTTATTCGAAACTATCAAGATGGGTGAAAAAACTTTAAGGTGACACCGAGTTTTTATACAACCTTGTCCTTAATTTTTGTCGCCTAAGTTGACCCTTGGTAATAGAGAATGGTCACTCTAGTGTAATAAACGATTGTCAAATTAGATTGATTTTAAAAGAAGCAAGAAAATTTTTAAATATAAAAATAAGAAAATAGGTAAAAAAAAAATATAAAGCAGTAAATCTTTTAATACGTGGGACCTCTGTTGTCAAAATATGTAAAGCATTGACAGAAATTTATATTCCTGAAAACTCCTAATATCTCCCCGATTCCTAATCTCCGAAATCTTTGGATCACTAGCTGACAAAGGATAACTACACAAAAGCCAAAACATCAGCATAGAAGCGAATTGGAAAATGCAATCTAAAATTTGATTGGCGAGTTTTTCGATTTCAACTCCTCTCATTCACGTCTCTAATTTCGCGTATGCAAGTTTTCATATGTGCAGTGAAAACGCTCCTTAAAAAAATTATAATTGCGTTTGAATTTAATTAGAAAGCTATAAGCAAACTTTTAGATTTACTAAAATTTTGCTGTCTTATTGTGATTATCTCAAATCCAATGTAAACAAATCTTAAGAACTTATTCACACTGTAATATCGTTGAATTCAATGAAAGAAGTAATTTTGTAACATAATGAAAATTAAAAAAAATATTTTTTTAACTTTTAGTTCCCTTTTATTTCTGTGTTTAATTTCTTTTTATAATATAGTACAGGTATGTTTTGAATGCGGTTTGCATAAAATATATCTATTCTAGTTAATATTTTCTTTCTTTCATTAGTTCTTGATTTATTTGGGTAGGCATCTGAAGAAGATTTGGAAGATTTCTTTCAAACTGGCCATACAAATAACTGGGCAGTTCTAGTATGTACTTCTCGATTTTGGTTCAATTACCGGCATGTTTCCAACGTACTTTCAATTTACAGAAGTGTGAAGAGACTTGGTATTCCAGATAGGTATTTAAAAATTTTTCTGTTGAGGAATTTTATTACTTTTTGTGCTTTTTTTTCTTAAAGTTTGTTTATATTTCAGCCGAATAATTTTAATGCTGGCGGATGACATGGCTTGCAATCCTCGTAATCCCAAAGCTGCAACAGTTTATAATAATGCTCATCATCATATTAATGTATACGGTGATGACGTTGAAGTAGATTATAGAGGATATGAGGTAAATTTAGTTTCAAGAAAAATTTAGTATATATACAAATAAGACAATGAAGAAAAATTAGGAAAAAATATGGCTGTCATATTTTTTCCTAATTTTTCTTTATTGTCTTATTTGTTTAATTCCTCTTGGTTTTACTGTTGCTTAGCGCATTTTTCCATTTGGATGTATTATTATTATTTATTTTAATTGCTTTAATATTTCGAATTTTTTTTCTTAATTAGTATATAAACTTTATATCTCTTGATATTTGTTCAGAGATCTTGCTCCGGACAGCAAATAAATATTTTCAAGGGGGAAGTCTTCTGATGTTTGATTCTTGGTTTAGTGAATTTGATTTATAGGGTTTTTACTCACAGCTATTTCTAAATGATTCGAAGGCTTATGTGATACGCCACTTTGTTACAGTTGAGCTTTTTAAAAAGTTACAAATTTTAGTTTGTATTTCTCTATTAATTAAAATATTTTGTCAAACCCGGAGTGCTTGTTATCTCTGTATGTTGTATCATAGTTACAAGTAAAATGAAAATATTTTTGTTTGTTTGAAATAACTGTATAAAGAAATGAAATTAAAATTATTTTGTTAAGAAAAACTGTCATCAACCATAGCCCACACTCACTAAAAAATAAAAAAAAAACACTGCTGAAGGGAATGGATGTGAATTCATAGCCTTCTTCTTTTTCACTATAGGCGTACAATGAAACCTGAGTAAATTGAACACTTACAGTGCATTGCTTAGTGATTAATTTAGATTTTACTGGTCAGCATATAGAGGGGGTCACTTTTCTTTTTGTCATTTATTATATCAGGTTATTCTTACATTTCTTCGTTTTTACCAAAACAAAATAATAAATATATACCCAAGAATAGGACTAGGTGATGTAAGAAATTTTATATCATGATAAAATTGTCTGTTAGACATTGCATCGTTATGATGTATCGTGTTATGAGATAAATTCAGATGTAGTTTCTTTTAAGACAAAAGCACACTCTTAGAAATCTAAAACTATTCTTAAGTAAATTAAAAAAAACATCGTTAATGAAAAATATTAATTTAAAAATGCTTTTAAATCATCAATAAATTCACACAATAGTTTTTATTTAATATAATAAAGATGGATTGTTCTAAGGCAGAATTTTGAAAGTAAAAATAAACATAAGCTTTGCTTTAGCTTTACAGAACTTTGTCTTATTTGAAAATAGAAACGGCTTATGATTTATGTGTTTAAAAATAATGAAGTTCGATCAAAATATTTTACTTACATGCTTTAAAATTTTTTTTTTTTTAAACGTTGGTCAAAGAACTTACAAAGTTCAAACTTACAAAGAACTCTTAAGTAAAACAAAGTTTAAATTATTTGAACTTCATTAAAAAAAATTATAACATAATTTTTTAAGAAAATGTTATAGAAATGTTATCTTTATTAAAAATTTTTTTTTAAAAAATAAGATCAACTTAAGAGCTATAAGTTAAAAATAGGACTGAATTTCTATCAAAATATTTAACTTGCATGTACTGAAAGAAAATTTTAAGAAATTGAGTACAAATTGGTAATCATAAAAAAATTTACTGCACATTTTTTAAAATTATTATTAAAATAAATGCTGCTTTTAAGGTATGGAAACATCACTTAAGTTTTTACTAAAATAATAAAGTTGAATTGATTAACAGCAAAATATAAACCAAAAAAAAAAAAAAAAAACAGAAATTTTGCACATAAAAGGATTTTAAAATGCTAATATGAATTTTATTTTATTTTAGGTAACTGTTGAGAATTTTATACGAATTTTAACTGGAAGATTATCTCCTAGTACTCCCAGGTCCAAACGCTTGCTTTCTGACGAACATAGCAATATTTTGATTTATATGACAGGTAAAGAATAATAAATATTCTGGATCTATTTACCATGCATATTATTGTGCATAACAACCATGATTCTATTATACAAGAGACAAAAATGAAATGAAACTAGAACAAGATATTATTTTTACGAGGTCACCTAATGGCATACTAAGATTGTTTTTGGATGACCTAATTGATTTATTATAATGTATTGAGGAGAATGAAAAAAAAAAATGTTTTTAAAATATTATTTTGCCTATTTATTAACCCCTTAACGCACAGAATGTTAGAAAAAAACTGGCCAAAAAAAATCACTTTTTTTAATGTAAAAAAACACACTTTAGAAAATTTTTTCTTTTGGTGGGCAATTTTGATATACTGCGCTTTTGTTCCATGTAAAAAGGTTATATTTTATTCTTGAATAAATAAGTGTTATAGCTTACAATCCTATGTAAATGATAAATATCAATAAAACAATTTTTTTTCTTAGCTTTCATATTATTTTCAATTCTCGATTATTTTCGAGTGTAAAAATTATAGTAGCATAAAATACAGCGCCGCTCAAATTATCTCGAGTGTGCACAGTTTGGCCTGTTTAGCACGCTCGAATTAACTCGAGTGCACCGGTTAAGGGGTTAAGCTAGCTTAAAACTTTTATGTAGGTTTTTCTTTTTAAAATAGTTTTGATATACTGAAAACATCTTGGAATAAAATAGCATGGCTTATTTAATAAGTATTCAAATTGATCAGCAAAATAAATTTTAAAATTTAAATGAGAGGAGAATGTGTGTTTGTTTGTGTACATAAACAAATATTATATTTAATTAAAAGATGTGTGACCTTATTGATATTTACATAGAACATACCCATACAATATATCTCTGTTTTACAATATAAATATTCAGAAGTTTATGTTAAAACTAATATTTCTAAGTAAAACAATTTAATTTGTGGCAAGTAAGCTGAAATTATTCAGCTATAGTTATTAGAAGTAGATAAATTTTATTAGTGCTTAACTTTGGTGTTGAGTACTAAAGCTTAAAACTTTTTTCTGTAGTTTTTATTTTTTATAATAATTTTGATATACTGAAAACATCTTGGAATAAAATAGCATGGCTTATTTAATAATTAACCGGAAAGAGCTCATATAATCAGTTTAATATCTAATATTTAAAAAACAACATTATTTTGCAGAACAGCACATTTTAAAGCAATTAAACTTCCATGATGGTGAAGAAGCTAGCAAAACCGAAAAAGTCGTGATGAAAGTTAGAGGCCCATGCAATGAAAGATGGGTGTCCCCTTAAAATTATGTGTCACACTTACAATTATTATCATATATTAAAAAATTTCTAAATGTTGAAATTAATGTCAATTTTCTAACAACTTCACACCAGGTTTGTAGAATACACATGTACAAGGTCTGATCACGTGATCATGTGAAGTCCTGATGCATTGTTTAAAACTCACTAAGTTTTAAATTCTAAATATATTTTTTGAATAGTTCTTTTTTTTTAATGTAGTAATGTAATGTTGTAATGAAATAATGTTGTTGTGTTTCATAAACTTTTGTGCATCGACATTTTTATTCTTTAACAATGTGACATTTTTTGAGCAAAAAGTTTATGGCTCAATGTCTGTGTGTGCATGTAATTGTAGAATAATAGCATGAATAGGACAGGATTTGAACATCAAATAAAATTGAAGTCTGATAAATTACAAAAAGTTCCTGTAATCTGACTTAGTCTTAACATTTTTAGTTATGCAAATGAGAAACTAAGTTCATAAGTTTTTCTAATATTAAAATTATTTTTTCCTATTTAGTTCTTACTTAAATTACAATAAAATTTATCATATAATGTTAAAATCATGATAATTTTATTATATAATATTTTTAAAAATAAATTTTTATATTACTCTAATATCTATACAATTATAATTTTATATTGTGAATCATACTGCAAAGTTAGTTCATGAGCAACTCGTGTCATTGAACTTCATTTCAAATTAAAGTGCCAGAAATTCCACACTTTTATTTTAGACTTTTAATTTTTATGCTTGAAGAGTACAGAAGAGAAGATGACCTCTCTTTGAAGTCAGTCTTGTCGTAAAAAGTAGTCCATAATAATTAAAACCATCTATTAAACTTCTTTATTTTTATTCAAATTTTGTAGGATAAAGTTTGTTTGAAAACATTATAATCTTATTGATTTAGCTTTTTTTTTTAAACTTTAAATAACCATTTTAAATATTTTTTTAAGGAAATATATTGAGTTTCTGGGCTTTATTTTTAGGATATTTACTGAAATTCTAATATAGTGCATTCAAGAGGACTTCTTAATCACAACTCTTGATATATGTTTGTAGAATTCTTGTTAAATTTTATGTATATATCTTAAGGACAGTCATTACTGAGCATTTTGCACTTTGTTTAGTTATAATTTTATTTTTGTGAAGTCAATATTTCAGCCACTTTTATGTAGTAAGAGCCAGAATATTAAAATTTGGTATTTTCCTTGCAGTTTTGATGACTTTATAGTTGGAGTTATATGTTAACTATATACTTAAGAAGTTCACTCTTATTAAAGCTATTTTTCCTTCAATTTCCTTCATCTATATTTCATTTGTGTTTTACTTTTTTTAGAACCATCTTTTTCCTATAATTATATTGCAGTTAGCAATTATTTATTAATTTTATTTTATTTTTGCAGGTCATGGAGGTGAAGGTTTTTTGAAGTTTCAAGATTCTGAAGAAATCACAAATGTAGAACTTGCTGATGCTTTTGAACAAATGTGGGAAAAGAGGAGGTAAGAGTTATTTCTTTATTGTTTGAAATTAAATTTGCTTGTGTTAATTTTATGAAAGTTTTTTTAGATTAATGAAAGTTTTAAAAATATCAAAAGCATAATTCCTTTTTTGATTGTTTGAAAAGTTTTTTTTAAAAATTTCCTCTCTAAAATACATCTTTTTATTTAATTTTAATATTGTTTATAAACTTTGATGAAAGTGAATAATTCAATTAAATTTCTTGTGAAATTTAATTGACACAATTATTGAAAAATAAATCAAGTTTAGTTTAAAAAAAAAAAAACTATATATATATGTAACATAAAAAGCTACAATTAATCTTTTTATGTTATTCCTTTTCTGTAAATCCTTTTATTTTATTTTATTATTCTAATCGAAACACTTTCTCACACTTTTAAATTCACATCCTGTCGTTAAATACATTTTTGGCTCAAGTATGTATTTATTAAAAGTAAGACATTTTTCCCTTTACTTTTTGTGGGAATCGCGCGACCTATTTAATAAACCAATTATAATTATTAATGTTTCTCTATTTCCCTAAAATATAATAAAATAGAAGGAAATTTGCTACTTTCCCTGGGATAAAAACTTAAGCACACAGTTTTGGAGTGTGAATTTAAGCTCCGCCATTGACAGAAAATGTTTTGAATATACCTTGTGAAGCTAAATAAAATATTGCCTTCCAACTGCTATTTGCGTAGCTCAACAACACTCAACCATGACT